ATTTTGTCATTTCCCTCGCTGATCCCTCGCTGATCTGCGAGGGATCAACGAGGATTCTGAATTTTGTCATTTCCCTCGCTGATCCCTCGCTGATCAGCGAGGGAATGAGTTTTTTGGCATTTCCCTCGCTGATCTGCGAGGGATCAGCGAGGGAAAAATTCCCTCGCAGATCAGCGAGGGATTATGTTTTTTGGCATTTCCCTTGCTGATCCCTCGCTGATCCCTCGCTGATCTGCGAGAGAATTTTTCCCTCGCTGATACTTGTCGCTGATACCTGGTTTTCTAGTAGTGTGTGTGCATACATAAATGTAAATGACGTAATTTTAAATGATACAAGGAGAAACAATAAATTCTAGATTTTCATGGGGAGGAGTCAGAACATCCGAAGATGACGGGGGAGGCCTGATTTACCGTTATCTATGACCGAACACAAAGTAAGTCATAGATCAACGTTATAGAGCATCACTTATTGGATTAATACCATCGACATCAACCTAAACCAGTCATGTAGTCGGCCGTGATCTTAAGCTCTTTATCTCGGAAATTACATAATAATCACAATGCCTATTTCCGAGTGGAAGTGTGAAGGTGGTTTGGAATTTACATAATGATCACAATGCCTAAAACCAACTTACACCATCCTTCACACCAATACAGTGAAACGAATTCCATACTGTTACACCCACTATAATTTGGTGATGTACTTGAATATAGTAACATGAGCATTATAGTGTTTACTTATCGATAAGATTTTACGTGAGTCCTAACACAAGTGAAATAACCCTTCTTGCTAATAAAAGACTTCAAACTAGGGTATGAGGGTTGTAAAGTTTAATAGTCAACTACACTTGAGGAGCGAGTATTTTACCAAGTGATTTAGAACATTTATCTAAACTCAACTTATCAATATAAACATGATTACCCAAGTTCGTTCTTTTGACCCAATAATCCTCATTTCATCTAATTAAGTAAACTTCATGGGACTAGGGTGTACCGTAAGTAACTCACCTTGCCGCATCTAGTATAGGGTTCAAATACAGAGAAATGGGATGAACTCACCTTGCTGTTGTCGTTGTTTCGGTCCCCTCTGTTGTGCGCGTCAAACAGTAGCTAGGACTGCCTCTGTTTTCTGCTTTCTGCGCGCGTCCAGCAGCAGCTACGGCTGCTGCGTTTACTGCCTTCTGTGCGCGTCCAACAGCAGCTACGGCTGCTGCGTGTTCGGCCTTCTGTGCGCGTCCAACAGCAGCTATAGCTGCTGCGTTTTATGCCTTCTGTGTGCGTCCAAAAGGAGCTACGACTGCTGCGTGTTCGGCCTTATGCGCGCGTCCAACAGCAGCTACGGCTGCTGCGTGTTCGGCCTTCTGCACGCGTCCAACAGCAGCTACGGCTGCTGCGTGTTCAGCCTTCTGCTTAGCCGTATGCGTCTTCTCTGCAATGCTGCATTTTCCAGGATAAGATCATAGCTCCTTTGATTGATCATTCACATCAACTACTCTTGTTACATTCAAAGAAGCTTCCATGTGTGCTGCTTGTGACCCCCTAGAACTACTACCATTACTTCTAGCTGCTTTTCCAGACTTCCGTTGAGATTGCTTAGCCTCTGGCATAGAGGCCATATCATGGTCTATGAACGTTTCTTCATTGCGAAGACTAGCCGATTGACTGGCTTGTCTGTAGAGGTCCTCATCTGACATGTTGTTCCAAAAGGCTGGTCTTGAACCATTGACATTACACTTATCATCT